ACACAAGCTTAATGGAACAAATCATATCATCACAGCCTACGATTTCTGATATGCAGGTAAGAAAAACAATATTTGAATATCATATATAATTTAGTTGTAATATTTCTGTTTTTATTGGAATTTACAGGAACAAAATTCAGCACACTCTACTTTTGTTGCGAGTCCAAGTGCATTTCAGGTATGAAATATTAATTATTTAATTGAATCTAATAATTCAAATTCAAAAGCAAATAAGTATTGATATAAAAATTTTGTTTTGCAGAATTCAATGATATTAACAACAAATCGTACTAATGCTAATATTGAAGAATGGAATAATGATGCGGCAAATGAGGCATGTTGTCTTGGATGTATTACTTCCTGTTGTAGTATTAAAAATTATGATAATTTTAGTAAATTTTAACTTTGTAATGTAATTCAAATTCCAGGAAGATGAGAGTAATGAAGAGGATGCAATGGATAATTGGAATCTTGATATATTCAATTTGTTAGATGGTGAAAAGGTAATTTTTGTTGTTTGTACCTTTTTCTCTAGATAACAATGATTGATGATTGAAGTTTCATAGTCTGCAAAAAAAGAGTACAAACATTAATATTTCTTAAAAAATTAAATTGAATAATTCAGATTAGCAATGAATAGGCTAGAAAATTAATTTCAGAAACTAATGGAACTGCTTTTTTTTTGCAGGAACCAAGTTCAATGGATAATCATCGATGTACTTCAGTTCAAGGAACAAGAGATGATGACAATAATCCAAATGATAACTCTGAAACAAATCAACAAGAGCTGACAGAAGAAGACATAAATATTTTCGTAGAGAATGAACAGGAAGAAGCTACAAAGGGTAATAATGCAGCAATTGATAGCAGATATATACCAAGAGTTGGAACACAATTTAAGACTATTACAAAAGCACATGAATTCTTTAACTTCTATGCTCTGTTGGCTGGATTTTCTATTGTCAGGGCTCACAACTACCACACAACAAGCAAGAAAAGGAATGGAGAAGTGACTAGAGTAACGTTCAGATGTAATAGACAAGGCAAACCAACTTCTCAATCCAAATCAGTAAGCGCAGAGGAAACAGTGGTTTCGGAAAGAAATACAAATGAAAATGATGCAACAGATTGCAAGTGTGCTCTGGTTATTTCAGAGAGGAATGAGATTTGGAATATTTCAAGGGTACAATTAGACCACAATCATCAACTAAGTCCAAGAGATGAAGTGAGATTTCTCAAATCACACAAACACATGACTACAGAAGAAAAAATGCTCATAAGGACCTTGAAGGAATGTAATATACCTGACGGAGCGTGGAGCTCCTCACCGGGAGACCGCGCAGGCCCCCCTTTGCCGGTTCGGCCGGGGACGCTAAGTGAGGTTCTTCGCCCTCGATCGATCTGGAGAATGTTCGCGAGAGAGCAAGTGCACGAGACACGGGCGATGTAGACAGGTTCGGGCCGCTGAGAAGCGTAATACCCTACTCCTGTGTTCTGGTGGATCTGTGTGTGAAGGAGTTACAGAGAGCCGGAGAGCTAGAGAGTTCAGGCTCCAGAACCCCTCTAGCGTCCTTTTTTCTTTTTTTCCCCCCTTTTTGGTGGGCAAGGTCCTCCTTTTATATCTCAAGGGGATACCACATGCACCACTTCTACCTACTTTTCTTTTGGGTGGGGACCTACCCTATCTTGACCAAAACTTGGCTTGCACCTTCGCCTGGAAGCTAAATCACAACTTGTCCTTGAGTGAGGCTCAGCGCCGTCACTCGCCTGACACCGGGGATCTCCCTGTTACTCCCTCATTAATGGGCGGAGATTTGCCATGGCTGCTTTCCAAATGACCATCCGACGAGATGGGTCATACCTACCTCCACTCCACCGGAGGCAGATGCATCGTGGGAGCACGGTTGTCTGCCGATGACGCGACCGGCGTCAGACCAGTCACAGACCGATCATTCTTGTCCACCACGTGTCAGTTTAGCATGCTACACGTCTGCCCTTCTTCATACAATGACTTCCTTGCAATGGTTGCGATGAAGCCTGGAATGTATCTGGCCGGGGCTGACGTGCCAACTCCAGGAGTTCCCACGCCGGCTCCGGCTAGGGACGAGTGCCTGGAGGCTCTCATCATTCCGACGGGACGGGGCGAGGCGTGTGTCAGGCCGCCTGTTGCCACCTAACCCGCGATCTGACCGGTCTGTGACCGGTCACACACTGTGACCTGTCACGGACCGAACGAGTGTGCTGTGCTGCATTAAATGCGGCGTGGGGTGCTCGTCCAACCCGCAATAAACGCGGTTAGGTGAGCGCCGCTGTGCTCACCTAACCCACACACGTGGCGCCAAACCCACAGGGGGTCGGGGCGCCCCAGCCCTCGGGGCCGAAACGGGAGCGGCCCGACCCCTCGGGGAGACAGAGGGAGGGGCGGCCACATCACCCTCGGGCCCGACCCCCCCCCCCCCCCGAGGGGGTCAGGCCACATGGGTGACTGCAGCTGCCCCAAACCTCTAGTCAAGATACCCCCGGTCCCATGTCACCGACAATACCAACAAGGCACATGATTGTAATTTTATCTGTTCTAAGAGGAGGATTGACTTCTTTGCCTTATACGAAGAAAGATATAAGCAATGTGAGAACCACAATTAACAAGGAGACAAGCAGCAATGATATGATGAAAACTTTGGAATTTTTCAGAAGGAAAAAAGAAAAAGATCCACATTTCTTTTATGAGTTTGATTTGGATGAGAGCAAGAAAGTGAAAAATCTGTTTTGGACAGACGGGAGATCGAGGGAGTGGTATGAGAAATATGGTGATGTTGTGAGTTTTGACACAACATATTTCACCAACAGATACAACCTCCCGTTTGCTCCCTTTGTTGGAATTTCTGGACATGGAAACACAATTGTTTTTGGTTGTGCATTTTTGCATGATGAGACTTCAGAAACATTTAAATGGATGTTCAGAACTTTTTTGAAAGCTATGTCACAAAAAGAACCAAAAATAATCATTACTGATCAGGATGGAGCAATGAGATCAGCAATTGCTCAAGTATTTCAAAATGCAAAGCACGGAAATTGCTTCTTTCATATTGTAAAGAAAGCTTTCAATCTATCTGGAAATTTGTTCAAAGCAAAAGAAGGGTTGTATGATGAGTATGAAGACATCATAAATAACTCAGTTACAGAAGAAGAATTTGAGTATTTATGGCAAGAAATGATTGACAGCTTTGAAGTTCAGCATATCAATTTTCTAAAGCACATGTGGTCAATTAGAAAAAGATTTATTCCAGTGTATTTCAAGGGTGATTTCTGTCCATTTATAAAAAGCACAGCTCTCAGTGAAGGGACTAACTCAAGGTTTAAGAATAATGTTGGTCCACAGTACAACATTACAAACTTCATGATAGAGTATGAAAGAGTAATGGATACAATTCAAAACTTGGAACAGTTTGATGATCACATTTCAAGAACAAAGAAACCAAGCAAACTTTGGTCCCATTACTACATTGAGTACCAAGCAATGAGAATGTATAATCGCAAAATCTTCATCAAGTTTCAAGTTGAGTTGAAAAGAACAACTAGATTTCAAATAAATGAAGTAGAGAAGTTCAAAACTTATGAAGTTTTTTTGGCATTGAATCAAAATATTCAAGTAATCAGAAGAAGGAAGTACCTTGTTATTGTGGACTTGGAAAAGGAGGATTTCAACTGCATTTGCTCAAAGTTTGAGAAAGATGGACTTCTATGCTGCCATGTATTGAAAGTAATGCTCCACCTCAATGCAATGAAGATACCAGAAAAATATATTATTGAAAGATGGACAAAAAAAGAGTACAAAGGTCTTGGGGGAAAAGGCAATGGAAATATACCTTTAGCATAGAGCTCAATCCTGAGATTCAACATTTTGTCAAGGAAAAGTGCAGAAATAGCATCAAATGGATCGAAAAGCAATGAAACTTTCCAGTTTGCAGTGGAAGAGATGGACAAAATCGCTAAACAATTGGAATTAATGTGTTCAAATAAAGATGCAGAGCAGGAGATCAATGATTCAGATCCAAATGCAGAAGACAATTTGAACTCACATGAACAAGGCAATCAACAATCTGAGGAAAATACAGAAGAAATATTGTTGGATCCAGATATTGCAAAATCCAAAGGCAGGCCAGCTCAAAGATACAAGACAATTAGGGAAGAAATACAGCAAAAAGAACTATATCATTGCAGTCATTTTCAGAGGACAGATCACACATTTCCAACGTGCCCTCTGAAACACGTTGAGTTTGACTTGCCAAGGAAGAAGAGAAGAAAGGTTAAAAATACAAGAGAACAGGTAACAAAAATTACAAATCCATATGAATTGATTTTTTTAAAAAAAGTAATAAAGAAAGATATTATTTGTTGCAGGATGGTGTAGAGCAGAAAAAGAAAGATGTTTCAAACAAAAGAAAAGATTTGCAACAAGATATATCACAGGAGAAGCATAATTCTGGGGATGAATTAGAAGGCAAAAAGAAGAGAAATTCATCTTCATCAAAAAGGGGTGGCACAAAAGAATAGAAATGGAAATGACTGAAAATAGAGAGAGGTTTACTTGAATACAATGGAAATAGACATATTCCATAAGTTTCTGTAATATTCCAGAACATGTACTCTGGTTTGTACTTAAATGTTTGTTTCTTATATCAACTACATTTTATGAACTACTTTGCATTTTATCTACCACATGAGTTTATGTACAGTTGTAGTCCTGCAAAAGTTGCCAACTATCATATTTGAACAAACAAAATTTATTCCAGAATCAATTTCCCTACAAATAAAAAGAGAGATAAAAATATAAGGACTAAATAAAAAAAATTGTGAAAAAAATAATGATTCTAAAAAAAATTTACCTGAGCAAAGTCAATCACTAGTTTCTTTGTTCCTGTACCGAGAACAGAATTGTCTGGATGGAAGAAAAGACGGTTGACATATTGAATCCTAATGTTTTGAATGTCTTTTTGATAGAAATGGTTTGTCAGCTGAACTCTTGGACCCCATAGTTCCATGTATTTTAGAGTAAAAACTCCGCAATCAAAACTAGGAAAAAGAAAAAGGACATAAGTAACCACAGTTACTTATCATAAAAAATAAAACAAACAAAAAAAATTAAAAAAAGCTAATGCAGTTATGGTCATACTATTTACTCTGTAAATTTACTAATGAAATCTATTGCAGTTCTAGTCCATGTTGTACTAAGAAACAGGCTCTTATCCCATCTAGTAATTCTGAATGAAACAATTGACAAACAGGAACTAAATTTTTTGAATGATAATCATAACAAACAAACTAAAATTGTGCATTAACAACAAAACAAACAGGTTATGCAACAATTAGAAAAACAGAACAGTCAAGAATTTCTGAATGACCAACAAAACATACAAGATTCCTGTCAACAAGAGAACAATTGGGCATCTGTACAACTCTAACAAAAAAAAACAAATAAAAAATATTATTGGACTAAAAGTTACAGTAAAGAAAAACAACTTACAGATTATTTTGGCGAGGTACTGGTGGATATACAATTTTGAAAGCATCAAAATTGATTTGATATTCTTCCATGATGGAATTCCAAGCAAGTGCAAAATTGGATGTCTACAAAATATAAAAAGAAAACTCTGTAATTATAAATTCCAAATCACAAATTGAACAGTAATACATATATTTAAAAATTTGAAAATAAACTGACCAATCTATTCTTAACTTCATCTTGATATTCAGAACCTTCTTCATGTAATGAGTCAAGAAAGACAAACATTTCATCTTCCAGATGAACAATGAAAACAAACCAGTGGCGCTTGTAGAGAATTGGAAAGAAGAGCTGAAAAAATTAAATAAAACAAATTATAAATGTAAAAGGAAATATGAAATTAAATGTCACACCCCAATCTGGTACCGTCGTACAACGACACCTGACAGGAGCGTGTCGTAGGGGAAAACGGCGCGAACCGCTTCCTACGAAACCGCGGTCTCGGTACCAGTCCCAGGACATGGTGCTGGTACCCACGGTAACAAATATGAATCATAGCAATCCTTAAAATAAATAGAGGACTTATTTACCTTAACCTTGGTTGCAGCTCAGACAGCCCGAGAATACAACCGACGACACGGACGAGGCGAACACCAACAACAACAGCAGCAGCGGAACCAACGGTCTAACACCCAACACCACAGGCGACAGCTGGGAATCAGGGCGAAACCCTATTCTTCACTTCACTTCATCTTCTCTTCAGGGCGGAGGAACTATATATATATTTATATAGAGCAAGGGTGAGTACTTTCGTACTCAGCAAGTCACGGGAACTTAGGTGTTTAATGCAAGCTTGGAAGAGAGGCAAGGTTGTTTTGCAAATCTTTTGTTTGAAATCATTTTGAAATCACTAAGTGATTTATTTCTTTTTAAGTTTGGGTCAAAAAGAGACTTGCGTCTCAAATCGACTTAAGAGATGCTTTTCAACAGCTCAATTGGAAATGTACCGACCTCCCGGGTCAGATCATTACTTCTCAGCTCCACAACAGCATGTAGCATGCTAAATAGGAGATGGAAATGAACAAAAAAGGAAAAAAAACAAAAAGGAAAGCCACTGGAATAATCTTGCGCAATCGACGGTGCGACACCTCCACAACAGCAGCAGACACCGAGTCGGCTCGCCGAAGAGCAGCCTTGTCGCCTCGCTAAATCGCCGCCGCGTCGCCGGAGACGATGAGAACGAGACGACGAAATCGTCAACCTCTCCTTCTATAACTCTCTCTCTCTCTCCGTCGGCAAAAGGAGCACAACTAGCGGAGCAAAACAACAACGAATCGAGCAGCAAGCTAACAAATGAAGCTGGAGAAGAATCAAAACATACTCACCGGAGAAAAGGAGGAGGAGGAGCTCGAGGACAAGATGGAGAAGCCCACACCGCAAACTCTAGTGGAATCACTGCCGCGACTGTCACATCCTGATTTTTGTTTCAGGATTTATAAATTATTTAATAAATTATTATTAGAATTTATATTAAATGTTCATTAATTTACAAGTGAAGTTAAATGTGGGAAATAAAATTTCCTAAATATAAAGCATGGATGGATTTAATTTTTATTAAATTCTCCATGATTAAGTCAACTCTCTGAAATTTTCTCGGATTTTTCAGAGCTCAATTCCTAAATGATACAAAGAACAGTTCAGTAATTATTTGATCAATAATGATCTAATTATAATTGTTAAGAGCTTTTCTTGTTTAAAAATCCTTAAATTATAAATTGTTGTTTAAAAGGAATAATTAGAAATGATCTTAAAAGAGAAGATCTAATTTGCTAAATCTCAATATAAAATTGGGTTAGATAAAATTTTGTTAAATACTTTACTTGATTCTATAGTTCCTAGATTTTTCTGGGATTTATTTGAGCCAAGGAAGTATTTTTAATCAATGGAATATCATTTCATGAATAATTTAAATAGAAAAATGTTTTTAAATCCTCCTTTTGGCTTTGGGCCGAAAGCCGGCCCAAAACCTCTCTCTTTCTCTCTCCCTCCCTGGCCCAAGTCGGCCCGCAACCAAGCCACCGCTCTCCTCTCTCTCTCTCTCCCGCTGACAGGTGGGCCCCACCTGTCGGGCCCGTCTTCCTCCTCGCGCCGCTGCCGGCCGAAACCCTAGCCGCCGCCGCTTTCCAATCCGGTCGATCCTTTCCGTTTCCGGTGAAATCGTTTGAGGGGAAATAATCTCCTCGATCTCCTCTTCCTTTTCTCTTATAGAAACTTCGGTCAATTACGTTTGGAAATCGACGGATTTGAGCTCGATTCGGATCGACTTTTCTCCCTCCAACCCTAGCTTTCCATCTCGCCGCCGGTCGCCGTGGGCCTCCGTCGCCGCTCGCTAGCCCCTTTATAAGCACCCTCGAGCTCTCCTCTATCCGCCGCCACCTTTGCCTTAGCCCGCCGTCGCGTCTAGCGCCGCCTCCGCGTAGCCCTAGCCGTCGCTGTCGTTGTCGTCGGTTCAGCCGCGCCGCGCCGCCGTTGCAGCCGCCGTCGTTGGTCGCTGTCGCCACCATCGGGATCGCGAGGTCGTCGCCGTCCCCGTCCACCTCTTCGCCGCCGCAGAAGACCGCCGGAGCACCGCCGTCACCGTCGACCCGAAGACCGTCGCCGCTTCTTCCTTGTCGCCGGCGCCGTCCGTTGCTCTTCCACCGTGGTTTTGGTCACCGGTGAGTTCGCCGTGTTGTCCTCTACCCGTTGGTGTCCTCCGTTTGCGTCGTTGCGCCGTCGTTCGCCGACGAGCGCGCAAGGCCGAGCCGTCGCCGGTGATGACATCATCGCTGACGTCACCGCTGATGTCATCGTCGCCTTGTCCCGTGAACCGCGGTAGATCAAGTTGATCTCGGCCGCCCGTTTTGGATAGAATCGATCTCGGCCGTTCGTTTCCTTAGACCGTCCCGTGCACCCGGACCGCCTTTGATGACGCAATAATTCCCTTTTCCTTTTCAAAAATAATTCATTATTGCGTCATAATTCAATTAAAATCCATATAAGTGTTTTAATCCGATTTAATCTTTGAAAATTCATAACTAATTCATTGTAACTCAGTTTAATGTGGTTCAAGTTGCAAAAGTTGTATAAAATAAAGATCTACATATTAAAATTATCCATAAATTGAATTAAATTTATTTAATTCTTTTTAAATGGGCTTTAATTAGATTTAATCTTGTAAAATTCATAATAAATTCATATGAAGTCAGAATGAGGCCGTTCAAGTCTCATAATTCATCTAAAATTATGATCTACATGTTTGTTTACTTTTTATGTATTGTTTATTTGGTTTTTATTAGTCTTTTTCTTCGTTTTGCGTGTTAGCTTGTCGTTTCCGTCGTTGCGAAGGTTCGTGAGTGCGCCGGAAGTATTCAAGAAGATTAATTGAAGACCGATTATTGCAAGGCAAGTCACACAGATCCTAAACACAATCCTTTGAGCATGTTGATCCTATATTTAAATTCTCTATTTATTTCAACTGTGCATTTATTTTCGAATGTCACTGGGTGGTGTGAATCTATTCCTTTGTTATGGCCTGTTTGCATTGATTACTTTATTCCTTGATACCTTGGGTTATTATAACTTGACTAGTTGAGCTATATATATTGGTTCAGCTAGATATTAGATATGATTGCTTAGCCATGCTTAGAAACATTAGCACACTATTGGGATTACTTATGACTCATTATTATTTAATGATGGCTTAATGATAGTTCACGATGGTCAATCGTGATTGGTTAATTAATTACTTGCCAACTAAAACTTGATAATGGTGGGTTGTGAGCACATGGTTTTGAGAGTCGTGCTCATGACAATTAAGGACCGGTTCGCGAGCTACTGTTGTGAAACATTAACCGTGCCAACCACAAGCCAGCGTGGGCAACGGCTTTACCTTTTGTATAGCATGATTCATTGCGGAGCACCAGACTGAGAAGTGGCGGAGATAAGCCCACGGGGGTCGCTGGGGAGTCCATGCCTTGTTTATAAGGGGGTGATTATGATCCAGGAAAGGTGCGCTGTGGTGGATTGTGTTGTGCAAGGGGTATTGTCACAACTCCTTTCCGAGGTACCGTGGTGGTATTGAGGCACATGGTGACATGTTGTGGGGCTGTGTCTTGTGGGTACAGTGGTACACCTCTGGCCAGAGTAAAACTATTCGAATAGCCGTGCCCGCGGTTATGGGCGGGTTGAGCAATGTTTTTCGTGATTAGTCTCACACCTCTCACAATAATTATGGATGTTATACCTGGTAATAATTTGCTTAGCTCCTGGTTTGGAGTTAGATCTGTACAGCCGGGTATGGTTGTTCAGGATGGTTGGGCCTGTGCAGCATGGGTGTGTTGTTCAGTGTTGATTAAAATTTCTGATTAATTACTCCACTGTTTTATTTCTCTTAAATGTTTTGCTAAATGCTGCTTTTGCAAATGAGCCTATATTATGCCATCCTTTGGTATCCTTGTGCACTTGCATATTTGCTGTGTGGCTTGTTGAGTATGTCATATGCTCATTCTTGCAATAATCAATCAACCTCAGTTGAAGAAAAAGGATCTAGGAGGAGAAGACGTTTGGCTTATACCCCAGCTGAGCTGCCTGTGGGAGTGGAGCTGGAGCTTCGCTAGATTTTATTTTCCGCTGCAGTTTTCTTCATGGTGAGGACTAAGTGCCTCTTAAGTAAGTATTTATCGTTTTAGTTAATTTGATGAATCTGTATATTAAATTGTCAGTTTGTGTACCTCGGCTGATTCCTGGACGAGGATTTTATGCACAAATAAGTTCGGAAATTACTAGTGAATTTTCGGGCGTGACAGCGACGTAGCCTGCACGAATCCACGCCGCGGCGTAGCTTACGCCCGTCGTCGCCTCCCGAAGTCGCCGACGAAATCTCCGCCGAAATCGCCGGACGAGACGATGAGGAAAAAGGCAAAAAGCAAAATGAATCTCTCACACACTCTCTCTCTCTAGTCTGATTCAGACAATCTCTCTCTCCGGTGCGGATTTCAAAATTTGAATAGTGTATGTGGGTCCCACCATTAACACACTCTCACAAAAAAATCTCTCTCTGTCGGCAACACAAAGTGGGTCCCACAAAAATGTAAAAAAAAAAAGAAGCCCATTTAGCCCACGTATGGAAGCCCGAACTTACAATAATCAAAAGCCCACATACAAAAGAAAACAAAAGTCTAGATAGCACGAATCTCAAACAAAATCCAAGGGACCAAAAAACGAATGATACAGCCTAACAAAAACATGCGATAGC